AATATAGCATTAGAAGAAAGGCTAAAAGAATAGTTAAGTATGGATGTTTATATATAACACATAGAATAATTAGTAAAATAATACTAAAGTGTTTAAATGTGCCCACAGTTCTAAGGAGTTCCAAAGGATGCTATTATGTTCAGTGACTTCAGAGTACCAGGTAAACTAATACTTTAGAGAAAACACCTCTCTGTGCTAAAAGCATTAATTCACGGATTTACAAATTTTTACGTGTGCAAAATTAAATGCTGCCTAATTAAAGTTGGCAAATGATTTAAAGAGCTGAACAGAAAGCAAGAGGAGATAAATAGGAAATTTCTTCTACTCAACAGATTAGGGGCCATAGCAGGACAGTGCAAATTCACCTACAAAACAAATTTAGGAATAAAAAGATGTTGGGACTCTTTTCACACTACCAGAAGGCACATCTCCAGGGGCACTATGGGCAAGTCTACTTTGAAAAAGTCCCATGGGTGACTGAAATTGTAAAGACAAAGTTAAGCATTACTATAAGTAGACAATCTCTCTGACCATCTACATGTTTGTTACTTAACTCCAGACCTCTTGAACTTATTCCAGACCTCTTCCCCAGGCTTACAACCAATACAGTCAATTCTGTAGCAGAGCCCTTCTGAATGACCTCCAAAGTAATGTAACTAGGGGTGCCCGGGTAGCTCAGTCTGCTTCTCCCTCTTCCTCTGTCCCCCCCAATCTTGTGCTCTTTCTCTCTCAAAAATAAATAAAATCTTTTAAAAAATAAAATAAAATAATGTAACTACATCACTTCTTTGTACTTACATGCATTTCTTACCCTGGAATATAAAGCCCTACATTATCCGGCCTCTGCCTATCCCTCTTGCCACAGCTGGTACCACTCTTATCCTTATCTACCATACTCTTGCAACACTGGCCTTTTTTTTTTTTTTTCCCCTTCACACCCAGCCTCTTTCCTATCGTAAGGACTTCGCACAGGCAGGTCCTTCTGTCCGGAATGCTCTTTCCTCTGATCTTTACTTGGTTTGGTCCTTCTTATCTCTATCTCAGTTTAATGTTTCTCCTCAGGGCAGTCTTCCTCCAACCACTTAACCACCAATCACTTGAATCATTTACTATTTCAAAATCCTTTCAATATTTTCTGTACAGCACACATCACTTTTGGAAACTAACATATATATATATACACACACATATATATGTGTATATATATAGATTTATAAATATATGTTACTTGTTTTTAACGAGTAAGGATATATATGTATATACATATATATCCTTACTCTTTTTTTTTTAAATGTATCTCCTCCTGTTAGAATAAAAGTTCTGTAAGTAAGTATAAGTAAGAGTAAGTGTGTGTGTTTACTGCCCTAACTCCAATGGTGCCTAGAACTATAAATGCACTAAAAAATAATTGGCAAAATGAAAATCCAAATGCCAACTTGACATCTCCACTTGGATATCTTAAAGGCAACAGCAAATATAACATATCCTTAATGTGATTTATGATTTCCCTACCTCCTAAAATATCAGTCCTATCTTCTTGGGCTTTAAATCTAAGTGAACAGTACCAATACCCAACCAGCAGCATAAGCCAGACATTAGGAGTTATTCTTGATACTTCCTTTCCCAGCAAGTTCAATCAATCTCCAAGTCCCATCATCAATTTGTCTCTTATATGTACTGATTATATCCACTATGTCCCTCTCTTCCACCATCACCACCCCATCCACTGTCTGAATTACCGTTTGTCACCCGGATCACCAAAATGGTCCACCCATTTTTCCTTTGACCTCCCTCCTGTGGTCCGCCACCTGTGGCACCGCAGCTGTATGAGCTATTCAAATACAATCTGATCTTACCATTTTCCTATGTAATATCCTTTAAACAGCCTGTTCTAGGAATGCCTGGGTGGTTCAGTCAGTTAAGTGTCTGTTTTGGGTTCCGGTCACAATCTCAGGGTCCTGGAATTAAGCCCCGTGTAGGGCTCCCTGCTCGTGTGTCTCCCCCTCCCTCTGTCCTGCTTGTGCTCACACTCTCTCTAATAAATAAAAATAAAATCTTCAAAAAAACAGGGATGCCTGGGTGGCTCAATCAGTTAAGCGTTTATCTTTAGCTCAGGTCGTGATCCCAGGGTCCTGGGATTACCGCATCAAGCCCCTTACTCAGCGGAGATCCTGCTTCTCCCCTCTGCCTGCCACTCCCTCCCACTGCTTGTACCTGCACACGCTCTCTTTCTCTAATAAAAAATAAAATAAAACCCTTAATATAAATAAAATAAACAGCCTGTTCTAGATCTCTAGCTTCATTTCTCACCACTACCCCCAGCCCATTCATCCACCAATCCACTCAACAATTGCATATATTGAGTACCCAATGAAAGGGTGATACAAAATGGACAAAGATCCTGATCTCATGAAGCTTACAGTCTAATAGGAGAGATTATCACCAAACAAATCAACAGATAATAAGTCACACAGTAATTAATACTGAGAAGAAAACTTAAGTAGGGTAAGGTCATGGAACAACTGTTTACTGTAGGGGCATAATGGAAAACTATGGGTACATTTTTGGGTTGTCCCAATAATTAAAAGATACTAGTGGATGGTATCCAGGCATGCTGATTGTCCTATAATACAAGATAGTCCCACACACAAATAATTATTCTCATCCCATAACACTCTTGATATGTCTACATTGGTGAAAAACCGGGGCGTGTGGGTGGCTCAGTGGGTTAAGCCTCTGCCTTTGGCTCAGGTCACGATATAAGGGTCCTGGGATCGAGCCCCACATTAGACTCTCTGCTCAATGGGGAGCCTGCTTCTCCCTCTCTCTCTGCCTGCCTCTCGGCACTTGTGATCTCTCTCTCTGTCAAATAAATAAAATCTTAAAAAAAAAAAAACCTGCTAATAATTATCTAGACCCTTAACTCTGTTTTATACATAAATACTAATAAGTTTTACATGGTTTTAATATACAGATTTCCAAGGAATGGCCATATTCATATAAAGTAAGGGAAGGCTGTACTTTATTTAGTTTACAACTTTACTAGGAATTGCTCACCATTTTGGAAAATCAAGTCACCCAGCAATGCACCTTAGTAATATGAGTCACAAACATACCTGTTTAGGTTTGGATTAATAGCTGTTATAGTAATGATACAATGTGTAAGCATCTACTTCATAGTGTCTTCTAATATAGTTAGAATTCGGGCCCTTACAGTATTAAAAATTTATTAGTTTATCATAAATTACTTTCTCCTTATTTCTTTCTCATATTACACTTAGGGTATTCACTTAATTTAATTATGTATATAGGAAGATTATATTCATTATTTCATTCACTTGAAAAGTATATACTGAGCACCTACTAATGTTCTAATCACTATTCTAAGCACTGTGGATACACTGGAGAACAAAATAAATATCCTGACTAACAAAACTATAATAAATAAGTAGAATATTTAGTTTGTTGAAAGAAAAACTGCAGCACAGTAAGGTACGTTGGGAATGCTAAGAAGGTGGAGTGTATGATGCAAAATTAAACTGGGTAGTCAGTGCGTCTTGCTGGGAAGGTAAAGCTGAGCAAAGCCACAAAGTCACACAGTCAAATACAAAAAGGGCTAAAGCCCTAAGGTAGGCACATCTATATCATCCTCACAGGACAACAAGGAGAGTATGTGCCCTAAGTAACTCTTACAGCTCCGTATAGGAATAGCTTCTAAGTCTGTTCAACGACTGCACTGAAAGTTCCATTAAGTGAAAGACAATGTTTTATCTTCTTAATGTCTTCAATACTTCACAAAGTACCAGACACACAGGAGACACCCATTAACCACTTGCTACAGGAAGAAAATAAATGATGACATAATCAGAAAAGTTTTCTGACGCGACTGAGAATTACGCCTCAGAAAAATAAGATGAGAACTAGAAGCCAGGAAAGGATTAAATGACTGATGTGACATCATAAATCCAAAAGAAAAGTCAGTAGATTAAGTCCAAACAAAATTTGAAAGGTAAAAGTATTAGGCTATAATTGGATCTAAGTAACAAGATAAATTTAAATATGATAAAATCTACATATAATAAAATCTCCTGAGTAACTAAATTTGTGTTCATTCCATTTGGCTTTTAATAAAATATACAAGGTATAACCTACCTATGGTTTTAGATCCAGATTCCTCACTAAAATGTTTTATCTACTTTAGACTAAATAGTCTTGTACTAAAACATATGCATAAACTTTTCAAACAGTGGTAAAGTTGATTTCAAAATATCACAGACTTAAAGTCTGACAGATTTAAAGACAATTTAGAGACCACCTATTTCAAGTCTCATCTTTGAGATGACAAATTGAGGACTAGAGAACTGAAATGATCTGTCAAAAGTCAAAGCCAATAAGTGATAAACCTCCTATATTTAATATTCTGTTTATAAGTTTAAAAACACAAAATGATCTGCATGACTTATCAAATATGAAAACAATTACTCCAACTACCATACTATTTTAAGGAAAATGACAGCAGGATTCAGTGTCTGTTGTACTACCGGGCCAGATAAGAATACAATCATATTTTTAAATTCTCTACTTAAACAACAAAATGAAATACCATTTAAGAAAATCCAAATGGCCAAAAAATAAAATAATAAAATAAACTTAGAATTTGCTACGGTTGTTTCTGCTTAAAAATAAGTAATGGCATTAGTATCCTGTCATCCCTAAACCTGAAACACTCCCCCAAATAGCATCTAAAAATCTATATATTATTCTTTGTCTTACTAATCAAATAAAATTAAGATAAAGGAAATTTCAACTAATAGAAAAGGGATTATTTTTATAATCAATATTCATATGATTGTAAATTATATTTTGCACATTTAATTAAATAAAGATAGGGAAAGAATTATTAGTCCACTATATATTTCAACATATTAAGTCTTGAATCACTAATCTAAAATCAAATAAAATACCTTAGAGCATTAAAACCCCACACCTGAAAGACTTACCATTTTATCTAGATGTTCAATGGATCTATAAATCTCCCCCTGGGATTCATCATAGTAACTGTAACGGAACCTTTGACCTTGAAACAAATATCATGTACAAAATAAAATAGGGAAAAATTAGAAGCTAAAAAGAAAGCAAGCGCTTACCAAATAATTTCAGTTCTCATGGAAGGCAAAGCACAGCTTAAGCCTCTGAGAGAATCATTCCCAAGAGCCCTTGTACATAAAAATAAAAGGCATATTTGGGAAGTAATAAAGAAATGATATATCACCAGTGTTTTATGATGTTAAAAACTACTTCAAACTGTAGAACCTTAAAGTCACAAGCAATACAAAAGACTAAGGAAACAAAACAGCTTAAAAGTTAGAAGCATTGTTAAACATATTATATCACTCTGTAATGAAAGGTAAACCCAAAGAATATGATTCAAGGAAATCTGGTTTAAGAAACTATCTCAGTGTAACAAATCAATTAAATCAATGAAAGCTTAGCTTTTGCTGTATAAATGCAAAGATTTGATCTCTATTACAGAAAAAAAATGTGTAGGTCAGAGATATATTGTGGCTCATGTGATTTTTATGACATCAATAAAAAAATTATCTCATTTTTACAAAACTCTCTACTTGAAAAAAGATCGATACAAGTGCCTTAAAATAGGAGGCACAAAAGGATAAATACAATTGTCCTGCTCTAAATAAAATCTCAATAAGAGTACAAACACAGAACATTCACATTTAGCTTTTCTCCAAGAAACAGAGGGTAAGCTGGAAGAAGCTTGAAAAGAAGACAGAAAACAAAAGGCTCAGGTAATAAATCTGGCTCCCTATTATAGTCGTATAAAAACCAAAAGTTAAACATATTCATAAATAATTGTGGTATGTTATTCCAGAGACTATGTTGTATTTCAGACACATCTACATTTGTATATCTGTGATGCCTATATTTCTTAGAACTCATTACTTTTATATTTAGCTATTTTTAAAGATTCACCAAAATACATTTGAAAGGTATGTGAGTACACCAGTCATGTATGCACACATTCTGTGTCTTGTGCTTCATTTTTAGAGCAAAGTTCACATATAAAATTATTATCCTCACACCTGAGAAGATGGGTTTCTTTGGCTGGATACTTATGATTTTTAAGTTCTCTCTTTATCTTACTAAAAAAAAAAATGATCATCTTATAAATGATAAGTGATGCAAAATAACAAAACTCTTTTGGTGTTCTCTTTTGGATAAAAGCACACATCACAGTTATCCACACTTCCTTTACTTGTTGATTTTGATCATCTTTGATGGTCATCTTTCTAGACTATACTGTATTTCCTTAACTTTCACATTTTAACTTTGTACACACATTAATACATATGATTACTCATGTAGCAGTTCTTATTTTCCCTCAAGAGCTTCTATTAAACCAGTATTGCATCTTATAATTCATGATATCCTAGAATCAAGCAATAAGGTTCTGAGACAATTATCTGCTTTCTTAATACAACAACCATTTTTATAAACACTGAGGATTACTACATGTTACCATAACTATGAGATCAATTACAATCCTTGCACTAAAAAAATTCTTAAACAGTGACAATTCATTACTCAATGCCCTTATATTAATTAACTCATCAGACATTTCTTTCAAAATTTAGAGTTAGGTATAGTTTTGTTTTTCTTTACAGAATGTACACACTTACTCCTACCTAATAGTGAGAACTATATAATTGAACCCTATTTTTCCTACTTGCCATATGGCTATTGGAAGGCTCAAAGTCAAATCTAAAGTCTGTTGCAATAACTTCTTGATTCAATTCACCGGTACTAAATTTCTACTTGGATTTCAAAGGTCTTTTGACAGAGTTGCCCCAAATCTTTTGTGAAATAAACAAACAAATTATTAATCTTAGACAAGAAACTTCTGACTCACTGTCAACTGTAGTAAGAGTAATATCCTTGGAAGCAATCAAGATGAATATTTTTTGAACCTCAACTACTTCAGGTTTATACTAATACATTCTCTTTTTCTTGCTTCAGGAGATAGCTGTTAGTTTTAGCTATCAATAATCCCTGTGACTGGGACGTAACTGTCTAATTTGAAAACTGCTATTCTTCAGGTGTACAGAAAAATGCATGTACTTTTTGATAACCATTTCTACTCAAGTCTTTTCTGCTTATTTCCAAGTTCAGAGCTGCTGTTTCAAATGACTGAAGTTGGTCAAAGCTGCCTTAATCACAAGTGGAAAGTACAACTATACTTAGAAATGCTGCCATGTTCATACGGACAATTTTCACTGTAACTCTGACTTAAAAACTAATTCTGAAGTAAGAAAAAAATACATAAAATGTTTTGAATACTTTAAAATACCAAATCAACATGTGATTTAAAAAGAATGACAAAATGCACAGGAAATCGATGAGTAAATGTTTAACATTTTGCTATCTACCTCTTGCTACTCTTTAGGTGTTTGCATTTTGTAGCTGAAGAATCAAATAGAAATATTTTATGAGCTCTAAATAATGTATCAATTAATTAGCTAAATTCACACTACATAGAGCTACTACACTGAAAAAGTATCTTACTTAAACAGCTCAACTTAGAATAATTTTTAAAAATTATACAAGCATTTAAAAATTACCTGAGTAATTCACTCTGGTCAATACACATACAGAAAGCATCTACTTCAAAGTAAATAGTTTCCATCATCCTAGCCTATCTGTGGGGGTGGAAATAGGAGGTGTGTGCACACACACGCATGCACACACACACACCACTTTAGTTACACACCTCTTGGAATTTGCAAAAAATCTTTTGTATCTAATTATCAAAAAGAAGTTTATCAAGATTTTATTTAATGAGAAATGAAAGAAATGACAACACTAGCACAATACACTGTTCATAAATGCACCTTTAATCAAATATTTACTGTTGATGTATTGTGACTTCATGTTTAACTCACAAGCAGACATTTTGTTTTATAACACTTCTAACATTCAGTAAAGCTTATGCATCTAAAGTGAGCAAACACAGGTGCCTCTGTACCTGGAGAACTGGACTTGTATACTTTTGTAAGTATGAATAAAGCATATCACATAGTAAGAGAAAATTACTTACCTGAAACTTATCCTTTCAGAAGGTACACTGGGAAAATGGATTCTTTGAGCCCCTGTTTCAACTCCAAGTATGAGCTTTCTAGCTTTAAGAGCCATTGACACTGCCCCTAGGGGCAGCACAAGCTTTGGAACTCCCCTAGTGAGTATGTCAGTAGTTTCTTCAGGTGCCTTCCCTCAGTTCTTTTCAAATTCAAAAGATGAGAGGAAAAATAACCCAAGAAAAAAAATCCTGTAAAGCAGAAACCTTACTCTTTGAGGGAAGGAGGGTAGCTCATTTGTGAATCCATTCCAGAGCACGCTTTCTGAGAAAAAGAAATACAGGTAAGTAATTTTCCCATCTCCAAAGGTGACTGGTGATTAATGAGTGGATTCACAGAGTGTGGAGAGTAAGCTCCAGGGATGTCTGTTCAACACACAACAATCAAACTAATGAGGACAAACATAACAATGAATGGTACAAGAACCAACACTGCTTTTTAAGTGCCTCAAAACAAAAAATTAAAAAAAATAGCAAATACCTCAACATTAAGCTATACACTGGTTTGCAGAAATAAACAATGAGCTTGGAAAGTTGATTTTAAAGCCCCCAAAAAGATTAGTGAACAAAACAGACTTTCAGACATATGTCCAGTAAAAATTGTACTGTTACACATTCACTTAATCACTTTATGTTATGTTTATATGTTAAAGCATTTTCAATTATTTGAGTTAATCCTCACAACAACCTATGAGATAGATTATTAAGTCATTCCATACTAAGGACATTCATAATTGAAATCGTGAAAAACTACAGTCCTTTCATTCTAAAGTCTTAGTTATAATGAGAAAAGAAAAAAAAAGTATTAGCCTTCCCTCAAAAGATCAAAAACCTAAGTATGTGTAATTAGTATGTATAAAATTTGAGAAGACAAATATGAAAGCTTGGATGAGATGTATTTCAGGAATTAGCTAACTTATACTCAAACCAATTGAAATTATTTAGAAAATAATAACACCCTAGTACCTAAGAGACTAGCAACAGAAAGGAAAAAAGAGCAGGCATGCATAATCACTTGTTATGGAAAATTAAACTAGAAATCTGAATAAAGATATAAATTCATAAATATTCTGGGGAATGCTACTTTTGATAGGTGAATAAAAGAAGAAATTATATAAACCTATATAAATAAAAGTTCCTATGTAAAAATCCAAAACTGCTGAATTGAGTGCAGTAAAATTTATTCGTATTTAATAAAATAATTTATCATTAACATTTACCAAGTAAATTTACTGAAGTCAATTTGTACTTAAAACCACCATAAAAAGAAAATTAAGTAGAATGAATCAACTTTAAAAAAATCAACTTCTGTTAGATGCAGTTTCATTTAGAAACTTCTTAGAAGTTAATCAGAAATTATGTTAATGAAAGCTGTCAATGATCTAAATGTGAAAATATAAATTTCAAGGAGATCAGGAAAGTACAAATATTAATATTATATATTATATATGTGGAGAAGAGCAAAGATGAAAGGAAAACAGAATGAAAATTCTACAATTAGAAAAACTAAAATAGGCCCAATAAAAATTCTCTTATATGGAGCCATCTTAGAGGAAAAAAAACTTGGTCAGGAAAAGTATGGACACAACATTACCTAACCACAGTAAAAATCAAATACTAGCAGCAAATGTCCTTCACTTACACCACAAGCCCTGGTAGTAGCAGGAAGGGCAAAATGAGGTAGTTAGTTCATAAAGTGTTACTAGGAAACATCACCCTATTGAGCTGACTAATGAATTTTCATGTGGATTAGACTAATGATAAAATAAAAGACAGGAATTGAAATGGTGAAGATTTTTTTTCTGTCAGGGTGGGGTATTCAAATGAAGGGACAGAAAGAAGGGGCATAATAGAATCTAGGTACCCATTCTCCCTTAGCTTTCCCAACCCAAAAAGAAAATTTGAGAATATTTTAATCTTTCTACTTTTTCTCTCTCTAATGTCTTTTTCAAGTCCACATAAAATTTAAATGGGATCTGAAAGATGAAAATCTTTAAAGCAAAGTACACTTAAAAAAAAGTCATTCTTGTAATGGACACTGGTTAATAAGTAAAATCAACCAGGCAAAACCCTTCCAATCACTGTCTCTATCACCAAATCTCTTGCCTTATTTTTAACAGAACCCGGACATAATAGAAATAATGACTAGAAATGAAAAATGTTGTCACTGCTAGTACTCTGTTATTCAATAAAACAAATTCCACTGTAGGCATCTGAGCAATCTGTCAACTGTACCATAATCAAGTAAGTGATTTTTCTCCAAAAATCAGCTATTTAGAAATGTAAAGGATGTTGACAGCTCAACTCAATGAAACTTTTTTTAAGATCTCTGAGTATTTGAGTAACTGAATTCTTCCTGTGAAATGATTTAGAATTCAGTGTTATCATTACTTTGATATGGTAAAATCAATCTATACAGTATCTTTACCAAAAAAGAAGAAACAGCAGAAGCAGCAGAAGCAGATGAAGAAGAAGAAGAAGAAAAAGAACTATTAAGAAATACCCTCACAAGAAAAAGCTTGATTTTTGAAATGGAGTATAACATTCATTAAAATTTAGAAAAGATGACCAATGCCACCAGAGCATGAAACTTGAAAAATACAAAAATTTCTAAGACATTTTATTTTAACCTATAACTAGTCAAAAATTCGTATTACTTCAGTTAGGCATATAAAATAGAAAATGAATCCTACTTTACAAGAATGATGGTTATTATTGCTATTGTAAAGGGAAACTACCAATCTTGGAATAGCATCCATGCAACACCTTCCACTTATCCCCAGATCTTCATCAAATTTCCTAACAAGAATCAGTACAGTGCTTTTCATAAGTGCAAAGTAAGCACCTAATGAGTATTGTTAGTGAGAGTGATACTAAAAAAATAAACACCTGGAAAAGTTCTATTACTTAACCACCAAATGTAAATAAAAATATGTTTTAGGCTCTGAACAATTCTCTTAACTAACACCTACCAATCTCTGGAAATTTTGAGTTCTTATTTCTAATTGTCACCAGGAAATCCTAGCTTATAATTTAAATGCCAAATTTTTCTACAGCACAGGAGATCCAAAGGCCTAAATAACTTTCCAAGAACCTAGGCAGAATACAAAACAAAATTCATCTTTCTCTCTCAATATTGTACTTAAATACAGTACTTGGATTAGGGCTTATTTGCTTTAGAATTCATTCATGAAACAAAAAAAATGATTCAACAGACAAGAGCAATTTTAAAGCATCTACGGATTTTTGTGTGATTTATGCTGTGATTGCACATGGTACCCCATCTTGAGGGAGAACCCAGATTCTAAAGAACAATATCAGAGGAACTAATTATTTAAATCTAAAAGCAATTTGAAGTGATTCATAAAAGCCTTAAAAATGAAGAGGGACGAGACACATGCTTCAAGAATTTTTAATTCTAAAACATATGGATATATGCTTTATTACCAACATAAATTCACAATACTAAGAAAAATACCCTTTTTTCAACAATGATACTTCTTAGTTTTTAAGATCAACTATGACTAAATATCAGAATTTCCAAGAATCTACCTAGTCCTCACATTTAAGTAATATACTTATAATCCATAAAAAATAACTTCTGCCAAAGGTAACAAACCAACTAGCCAATAGAATTGATTATTAAAGAACCCTGAGAACCCTCTTAGGGAGTTTGGCAAGGTCACATAGCTACCTGCATATTCTAAACCAGGACTTCCCAACCTCAGCACTAGGTATTTTGGGCAGGATAATTCTTTGATGAAGAGAGCTGTCCTGTGTACTAGAGGATGTTTATTTAGCAGCTTTTCTGGACTCCACTAAGTAGATGCCTAAAGCATTCCCACTTCCAACCCCCACCCCACTGTAATGACCAAAAATGTCTCCAGGCATTTCCAAATGTCCCTTCATAAGATAATCAGCCTCAGATGAGAAATTAGTGCCTTAAACCAAAATACTTATCTATAAAGGAGGATGGCTCTCTTAAGATGGTCTCAACACCATTCACAGAGCAATGGAAGAGAAAATACCAGCCTAACCACAATAGATAAATATAGAGTCAACTCTGGTAATCAATGCTTAAGACACATAAAAGCCAGGGGTCCCTATATCTCATTGAGGATGTTTTTCTGACCATTCTAGTACTCTATCTTAAAATTTATAGTCTTGTGCCTTACATTTTCTCTATAATCAAAGAAATAACTGAAGGATGAACAGGTATTGGCATCCTCCGGCCAATGAGAGAAGTCCTAAAAGGAACAGGATTCAAAAATATTCTAGAACAGCCATGGATAAGGGAGAGCAAACTGTATTCAAAGAATCAAAATATAAAATTTATTCAAAGAGGCGTTCACAAATGTCTTTCTTTATCATCGGTTCACTGTGAAGTTTCCTTTCTCTTTTTATTCACAAAATAACAAAAATCACCTAAGAGTCCTCACCCTTATAAACCATTACCAATGAAGACCACAATGCTAATAGCCCACATGTTACATTCTGGGAGGGTAGCTCTAAACTGATGGCAAAAATTAAGTACCAAAGGAAAAGTAGAAAGAAAAAAAACACTAATTACAGAAAAGGAAATGTGGAAAAGGACTGGCATAGCACACAGTGCTCTTTTACCTTCTAAAGAAGAACATTTGTTTTATCTATGAAAAAACTAACTTCAGAGAATCTACTACACAACTCAAGTTGGAAATAGGGTTAAAAGATCTTAACTCCCACTAATATAAGTGGCTAAGCAAGGATGCCCTCACAGTGTGAATCCAATTATACCAGTCGCCTTTGGAAATGTATCCATAATCTATCATAATCTGATCCTTTTTAAAAGACTTTTTTATTCACTTTTAAACCGTTGCAGCTAAAAGTAAAACTTTCCGAGGGAAGTGATAAGGAACTGAAAATCCGAACTTAGAGTGAAAAGATACCATTAACCACAAGTATATATTATCTACCATGATATGTTAAAATCTAGAACTTACCCCAATGGCAGAAATCAGAAGAAACCACAAAGAGATTACTAGGATCCGCTAGATATTTACTGAAGAGTTTTCCGAATTCCTGTTCTTTTGACTCACTCAGAGCTCCAACCAGTACAGGAATAATGGTAAACTCATCCTTATGGCTTAAAGAAAACAGAAAAAAAAAAAAAAAAGTCATTTAAGAAGTATAAGAATAAAAGTAGTTTTCCAATGTGCTGGCACTAAAAAGTGGAACATTTATTAAAAAGGGTAAGGATAAGATACATACTGTTGAATTTTTTAATCTATAAATGAAATGTTTAAAGAAGACCACTTTAAAATAAGAGAGATACAGAATACTAAAAATATCTATTTAAATTACAGAAATGTACAATATTTCTTTAGGTAAACAAAGCTATTTTACTAGCAGGTATAATAATGTCCTCCAATATAAAAATAACCCCATCAGACGGTCACCAAGACAAGTCTTCTCGACTACCCATCAAAGCTACAATCATCTGCCTAATCCTTCCACAATTTTAAAAGAGCATTAAACTCTTCCTCAATATTTTAATCTTATCTGTTACAAATACCACCACTTCTGGCACTTTATAAACCTGCCAAGTGAGACCTACAAACTTAATCTTGGCTCCCATAAGATACACCAACTGCACCTTAAACCTACACTAATACACAGATACAGGACAGCCTGACGATACCACTCAAATTTCACTGGCATCTTGGGTGGACATAGAATTCAAGGAAGTAGGTATTAATTTCTAGCAGCAAGAAAAAGACACCAAACCCACCCACAATGTTTATGACATTTCCACAAGTCCCTTTTTCACTCTACAGATTGACAGATTTATGGAAAAGGAACAGAGCAGATTAATAAAGAATAACTATCATGGGCTATAGACATAGACGTTCATCCAAAACCTTTTAAAATTTTCATTGCAGTGAAATTTTACTTACATATATTCAATACTATTTATATTCTAAATGATCCCAGATTGGAATTTTAGAAGCGTGAGTCATTTTTGTCTGACTTGTGCTGAACAGGACTTTAAAAAAAAAAAAAAAAAAATCACCATTATAATAAATGCTTTTTAATATGTTAATCTGACACTTAACTGATGTAGGACAAACAGAATTCATAAAAAGGTTTTTAAAAATACTAAATTTAAGTTTATTCCCAAGATAAGTGTTAGCCCAGCTTCATAGAGCTACAGCCAGGGCACCCAAGCACCTCCCCCAGAAAGACCCCCTTACCCTTGTCAATTGCGAAATAAACAGATCATACAGATCTCCAGTCCCTCTGCAATGCAGGGGCTTCTTGGGCAGAATCTGCATCTATGGAGTAAGAAAAAAAGAGGAAGCTGGCAGAGGAAGCTGCCATGGAATATCTCCTTCTCTGACTCTTTTACCAGTTTGCTGAACAACTGCATGAATGAACAGGGGCTCCTCAATAAGTTAAGAGTGATTATCATTCAAAAGGCAAGAATCTGGGCTCTAGTAAAAATTCAAGAAGACTGCTATGACTTGTTCTAACTTCAAATACTATCTATATAAATAAATAAACTAAGATCATCAAGGAGTATGTAAGTAATTATGACATGGTAGGGATGCAGTTACATAAGAGTATAAAAAAGAAGTCAGAGGAAATCGGTTCAAGTACCATCTCCATCACATAATAAAAGTTGAGAGGGTGGGTAAATTACTAAATACTTAAAAATGTATTTTCTTATCTGTAAAATGATCATAATTACAATATCTATTTTCTAAAATTGCTACAAAGTGAGAAACACTACTGGAAAATACTTTGTCAACAATTGGTGGCTCACCCTAAATAAATAATACGTGTCTACTATTCTACAGAGCCACCAGCATTCCCTTACCCTCAGCCTCAGCCTGCAAATCTGTCTACACAGAGGTAAAAAGCTCATACTACTTAGAAATCTAAGCTTTGAATCAAGATCTATCAACCTCCTTGTCATTTCTTTAAAAAAAAAAAAAAATCTACTTCTGGTTCTGTATTTCCACAAACTATGAATTAGAAAAAAGAGCATTTGGCTTTGAAATGTAATATTCCTAGATTTTAGAATTCAAGTTGTCAGGTTGGACTTCCCCAATAGAAGGTGTACAAAATCTCACCCTCAAAAAATAATTATAAAATTGTCAAAAAAAAAAAAAAAAAAAAACCATTTTGTGCTCTAGAAATTAACCAAAGACAAAAAACACAACAAGAATAGTTTATTCATGTAAAATAAGTGACCTTCTTAGGAAGAACAGTGGGAGTCTGGCATCTTACCAGGAGCATTCTCTATCCCCCTGCCCCACTCCACCAGCATGGTGGGGTTGGCTGTGAAAGCCAGCAGCTTTACTTGCCGAAGAAAGCTGACTTTGATTTGGAGCAGAGAGCAGAAAACTCACAACCAGCAAGAAACAGAAAAGCCTATAGCTCTCATAGCCTAAGATTACCATACCAGTGGAGGCAAGCCACAAACCTGAGGACTACCTAGAAATTTAACATGGAAATTCTGCAAAGGAGACAGCCACAGAAGGACCCAATAATTTCACATATTCCAAGAAGATGATTGATGTCCTCCATATAACTCCTTCTGACTAGAAGGGAAAAGCACATATGTGCCGGGGAAATCCATAAGGTTCCAAGCTCCCCCAAAATGCCAGCTAATCAGGAGGGTGAGAGCATGCCCAAGGGAAAGTGGAGACCTGAGAGCAACATCACACATCCCAGGCTGTCTGGAAATCCACATGCACACTCAGAGTGACCGGAAAAGACCCAACAGAAATGAAAGGAGGCAAGCTAGAAAATGGCCCAAATTTTTAATATGCTCCCCAAACTATACCCAATCCACCAGCAGAGGATGAAAGCCTTACTGGCTCACAGTGTTCAGTCACAACCTCCAACCAATCATTACTGAAGCACTAAGTAATGCAGACACAGAGGTAAACTCTAGAAAGCCAAATTATAAGAAATTTTTAAAAGCTGAGAAGATACATCAGTAGCCACAATTTGGGGAGAGAGAAATTCTGCAAATAAGGGCAACAAAGTTACTTAAAAAAAAGAAAAAAGTAAATGAATGAATGAATGAACAAATGGAACAACTACCACCACCACTACTACCTGCAGAAAATTTTAATAAAACCAGAATCAAGTTGCTATAATACAAATTTTTAGAAGTCAGTTTTAAGAAAAAATTATGAGCTACAAAAACAGGAAAGTATAAAACATTCTCAGGGGAAAAAGAAAAAAAAAAAGTAGCCAATAGAAGCTGTATCCATGTGGGACCAGATATAGCAAAAACTTCAAAATAATTATATGTTCAAAAAAATCAAGGAAAACTATGATTTAAAAAGTTAAAATATGGCAATGACTAAATAATAGTAAATATCAACAAAGATATGCAAGCTATTAAAAAGAACTAAATGGAAATTTTAGAGTTAAAAAGTAGAGCAAATGAAATTTGCTAGATGGTCTAAAAATATTACAAAAAGAATCTGTGAAATTAAAGATAAGATAAATCATCCAACTTGTAGAGAGAAAAAAAAGGGACTGAAGAAAAATGAACAGAGCACTGGACACTTGGAAGACAACATCAAACATACTAGGATGTGTACAACGGGAGTTCCAAAAAAAGGTACAGTAAAACTGTAAGAAGAAATAATGGCTGATCAAAAAAAATGAAATTTTGCCATTTGCAACAACATGGATGGAACTAGAGGGTATTATGCTAAGCAAAATAAGTCAATCAGAGAAAGACAAGCATCATATGATTTTGCTAATATGAGGAATGTGAGCAACTAGACAGAGAATCATAGGGGAAGGGAGGGAAAAATGAAACAAGATGAAACCAGAGAGGGAGACAAGTCATAAGACACTCTCAATCTCAGGAAACAAAATGAGGGTTGCTGGAGGGGAGGGGGGTGGGAGGGATGGGGAGGCTGGGTGATGGACACTGGGGAGGGTACGTGCTATGGTGAGTGCTGTGAATTGTATAAGACTAATGAATCACAGACCTGCACCCCTGAAACAAAAATATATGATAACTAAAAAAAGAAATAATGGTTGAAAACATTCCAAATTTCATGAAAAATATTAATCTACAGTTCTAAGAGATTCAACAATCCACAGCAGGATAAGCACAAAGAGATCCCCATCTAGATACACTATAATGAAACTGATGAAAACCAAAGACAAGGAGAAAATCTTAAAAGCAGCAAAGAAAATGACCCATTATTTACAGGATAGTGTTTTCAATAAATGGTACTGGAATAACTGAATATCCATATTTTAAAAAGTGAACTTAGACCTTTACCTCATACCACACACAAGAATTAACTCAAATTCAGTAACAGACATAACTATAAGAGCTAAAAGAATAACTCTTCTGGAATAGCAACAATCTTTTTAAAGAGTCCATAAAGTAAATAGTAAATATTTTAGGTTTTGGGGGACATACAATCTCCCTAATTACTTAACTGTCACTATAAAGAGAAAGCAGCCACAGATGATATGTAAATGAGTGGGTATGGATGGCTATAGCTTAATGAAACATTTACAATAACAAGTGGTGGGCCAGATGTGGTCTGCAGACTATAGTTTGCTGATTCCTGTTCAAGAACAGAAAATATCTGTGACCCTGAATTAGACAAAGATTTTTTAAATAAGATATCAAAAGCTAAATCCACACAAGAAAAAAAAAAGATAAAATGAATTCATCAAAAACTTTTGCTCTTCAACAAAGCAAAATGACCTGTATCTAGAATATGTAAAATCTCTTACAACTCAGTAAGAAGACAAATTATCAAATTTAAACTGGGGCAAAATATATGAACAGATATTTCACAAGAGAAGACATACAAATGACTAAAAACCACACTGAAAAGTTGCTCAACATCATGAGTCACTGGGAAGATGAGAATTAACACCAAATGAGGTTACACTATATACATCTATCAGAAGGGCTGACTATAACAGGTATTGGCCAGAATGGGAGACACTAGAACCCTCTCACACATTGCTTCTGGAATATAAAATGGGGCCATCGCTTTAGAAAATAGTCTGGCAGTTTCTGAAAGTTAAAACATAGACTCATATGACCAGACATATCATTCCTAAGTATCAATTCAAGAGAAATGA